TTTATTCATTTAATCGCTTTTATTATATTTTTACCAAAATTCCCTCATTTTTACTGTTTCACGTCTGGCATAAATAATTCAGACAGAAATTTATAATTTTCTAAGTCCCTGTGGAATCGACCCTTACTTCTCTTTGCTACGTATTTTCTTAATTTATTGATTGAGAATAAAGAATTATTTTGACATCGAAACGACAGTTGTCATTAAACGAACACAAATAAAATATGTACACATTCAAAAATTAACAAACATGAATATAACTTTATTCATTTAATCTCAATTCATTTACACTCCTATGCACTAACTTTAAATTCTGTTTGGTACTCAACTTTCTTCTTTGACTTCTTCAAACCCTTTTACTAAAGGGTGAGCTTGCAAACTAAATTTCTAAAATTGTACCTACATTATATAATTTATATTTTACCCAATTAAATTGAGTGAAATGAAAAATTATATATTTCACACTATTTGTTATAACATATACTTTAAATTGATATTTATAAATATATTAAGTATTTTTTTAAAATAATAATAAAATTATTAAGAAGATAAACCAAAATGTGATTGAAAGTACGCATCAATCTGGTTTTCTATGATGTCACCAGCAGAGAACACAATATCCTTTTATTTGGGGTATTTGGGGGTTTTATGATTTTTGGGGTATTTTGTGAAAAATAGGAAAAGATATCGACCTTTTTTGAAAAATTTATAAATTTTATTTTTTAAACAATTAGGCAACATGTCAAACAATGATTGATTGATTTTTTTAACGGATTGTTTTAAAATCCGTTACAGCTCAGGAACCTAAAAATATAATGTCGGAAACATTAGACACCTAAAAGTGTAACAGAGAAAACGTTAGATATCTATTTTTAATGAAAAATACTTTTAGGCACCTAAAGTTAACTTTGGACACTTATTTTTGTATTAAATCTATTTGAAAAGGATGCGAGATATATTTCATTAGCCATAATTGACATCATCAAGTATAGTCTAAACCAAACAAATAGGGAAATCAGTCTAGAAATACAAAGGTTCAATATAGGGAATGATGCAAGATCATGAGCGACTGTGTTGGCAGATAGGCGAAACGATTGGACCACATTGTGGGGATGAGATTGCAGTAAGTTTCGTGCTTCAGCAAGATGAAATTGAATAATTGACATATCGTCATTTCTGGAAAGCAGTTGAGTGACGACATTAGAAGCATCATTCTCGGCAATCACCTTCCGACATTGTAGTTGAGAAGCAAGACATATTCCATAAGTAATGGTCTAAACTTCCACAAGAGCGGCATCACGCATAGACGAAAACAGAATAGCTTGCCCTGCTACAACTGCCAGTGAAATCATAAGCCAGCACACCAACAAAAGAAGCTGACGCAGCTGATCACAGGGCATCATCAACATTAACCTTTATAGACTCCCAAGGTGGCTTCTTCCAGATTGAGGGAATAACACAGTCTATATCGAGAGAATGAGAGGAGGCAACTAAAAAGTAATCATGCTGAAGGGCATTGTTGGTAGGTAGCCTCCCAAAAAACGTGATCAGTAAAGAAGACAGGAGATGTCATCCCAACTGTTATCAAAATATCTCGAGATTTAACACAATCATGCAGTGAATCCAGTGCTATTTCCTCATGGACTCCACAAAAACAACACAAACCATCACCTAAACCAGCAAGGAATAATTGGTGACCCGTTGGTAATGCTTCATGTGCAAGACGCCACTGGAAGGCCCTAACCTTTGACTACGTGTGAAAGCAGCTTAGATAAAGCCATAAGGAAGAGATGGCTATCATAGAGTGAGTGGGGTCCATTAACCAGTTATAGCCTGATCAGACTGAATATACACCTGAGGAGTAGTGACTACAAATCAAAATATCCGACGTAGTAGGTAAGATGAGGCATTGAAGGATAACTATAGCATCTTCATAAGAGAAAACAACCCAGATGCGAGCTTCGTCCCACCCTAGTTTTACTGATCGCATGAGGTCTCCACACCCCATAGGATGATCTGCCATTGCTTGAGTAAGTATCAATGAACTGAAGCAGGAGACGCCCATCCCACTAATAAGATGGACACAGACATTGTTATCCATTCCAACCCTCTAATGGAAGTTGTGTCTCGAGGAATGCGCTGCCTGAAAAATGCTACGCCAAGCGAATAAGAGGTAAGGGTCGAGTGTAGCATGCAAAAAGTCTCTCAACAAAAATATTTTACTAAAAATACCTGAGAGACAAGGCTGTTAGGCTATCGGATGAAGCGCTATAGAGTCTTCACAAGTAAAGCAAGATTGAATTTGTGGAGATCATAGAAGCCCCAAGAACAGATGCAGATAGGCGTACAAAGAGAATCCCATGAGATGAGTGCCCAGCAAAAATCCCGGATTGCAGGAACAATGTCGTCGAACAATCCTTGTGGGTAGTAGAATACAACCCATGATATACATCGGTATTGCTTACCCGACGGGCTTGATGGAAATCTTTCGGCCACCGAAGGATAATAAATGTTGTGTTTAGGATGTAATTTGAGTAACAATCCAATCTCAAATATACCCTAAAGCCACATATTTGTTTCAGCCAATATATTGTGGCATGCTGAAGTACATTCTTGTAGAATCCACTTGAATGACCTCAAGAATACCATAGAGATCCGATGGGGCAGTCGTGGGTTTGTGAGGACTAAAGTAGGCGTGGGACATAGCAAGATTAACTTTCTTCCCAGAAGCATTTCCATACAAACCCAATAATGCACGCAACTGACGAAATTCACCCTTGGGGAAGCAAAGGAATAACATATTATCGTAAGCAAATAATAGGTGAGGAATGCGAAGACCATTTTCTGACACCCGGAGTCCACGAGTACCACCCGACCGCTGCTCTTGATTCAATAGTGAAGATAAACTTTGAGTACAACAAATAAATAGGAACAATTAAAGGGGGTCAACCTTGAAGGAGGTCACGCTCCCGACAAAACTCCTCGGACAAACTACCATTGATGCTCACGCAAAAGGTGGAAGTGGTAACGCATGTCATAATGAAAGACACCAATTAGAATCAAATCTGAGGTGAAGTAGCATTTCATGCAAAAATGACCACTCAACTTGATCGTAGGCCTTCTCCATGTCTAATTTCAACGCTGCTCCTTGTAGGGAACCTGATTTAACCGAATAGAGATAGTGGATAACTTCTTAGGTAATGAGAATATTATGTGAAATATGTCGTTTTGGGATAAAAGTAGCTTGTGAACGATCAATGTAGTGCCCCATCAATGGTTTCAAGTGGTTGACTAATACCTTCGAAAAGATTTTGTATATCAAAATGCAAAGAGAAATGGGTTGGAATTGCTTCATCAAAGTCAGATAAGAGACTTTTGGAATAAGCACCAAAACCATTTTGTTGACAACAGCCATCAGAGTATGCCCAGGCTATCCTTGCCTACTATAGTTCGTGATCAATTAATCACAAATTTTCCGACAGTCTTAGAATCCGTCATATACTTCTTCAAGTAATAACCAAGGAGACAGAAGAAAGGACATATTCAATATTGACAACAAGTGGAGCGATAAAGGCCGCAAAAGAATGTCACTACAACGCGATGAATATCATCCAACTAATCAATCCAAAGACCCCTAGAATCGTACAAAACTTGGATAAAACTTTTCTCGCGTCGATCGTTAGCCTGAGTATGGAAATAGGATGTATTCTTATAGTCGTTTGATAGCCAAAGACTTTAGGATCTTTGTTTTAGATACACCTCGTCCCTAGGTAAGAGGCACTGCAATTCCTCCTTTAAAGAATAAAATTCCGTCATATCTGAGTTTGACATAGTGCGTTGTACCAAACAATCAACTTGATGGACTGGGACGGAGCTAGGATTCCAACTTAAAGGAGCAAAGTATAATTAATCATAGAAAATCATAGGGCCAAATCAAAATAAACTAAAATTTGAAGCCCTAATTTAATATTTACCCATATATTTTTTTTAATAATAAAAAATTAAAGAGGCAATGGCCCTTGTAACCAAGATTTGGGTTCCCCTGGCGAAGAGTGTTGGGACCGTCGGCGCACCCCATGGCGCAGCGAAAACAAAACTCGACGGTCTCACTAGCGATCCAAGTACGTAAAACCAAAATCGGGAGGAAGGGATGCGAATACTTACAGCAGGTTCCTTGAAAAACAGCAAGGACAGTAGTGAATACTGGTGGTGTAGATCGGTTCGAATCGTAAGCCTTCACGAAATCACGTCTCGGCCTCTACTCAGTTCACCCGATTGAGAGCAATATATGTTTTCCCCAAAACTGATTTTGAGAAAAACGGTTGAAGGTTTATGTTTGTGTGTTAAAAAATGGTTGCTAGACCTAACACACCCTTTTATATCCATTACCCTAACATCTTAGGGTTTTTAAAGTTATTTCGAATTAATAAATAAAATATTATTTAATTAATTCAATTAAATATACATTAAAGACTTATAATCTGAATTATAATCTTTAATGTTTATTTAAAAAAAAAACTTATTTAATTATTCCGAATTATATATACCAATTAAAAGAGTTGTAATCTAAATTACATTCTTTTAATGCTTACTTACTATATTCGGGATAATTAAAATCATATGTATATCAAATATACATATCATAACTCTAGATATATTTTAGTAACATACACCAAATTGTACATTTTTTTATCATTTCAATCTTAGGGTGTGACCCTGTAGGTTCTTGTAACGTTAGTAGTAATTATTAGAACAATTCTAATATTACATACAATGAGTGACATCTAGCTGTAGACACCCGTTTTTGTCCGGGCCTTTTAAATCCATTTGACGATGATCGAGAAATAATTTGAAGGTGTTGGTGCTCGATGAAGAATTAATTCAAATGATGAAGCGTGGAAGTTTGAGTTTGGAAGCTTTGGTGCTCAAATTGGAATTGTAGTCGTATATGGAAATCGAGACACAAATTGAAATCCAAAATCCAAATTAATTGTCTAGAGTCCATCTTACAAGCCCAAACCAAATTACAAATAATGGACCCAATTACAGAGCCCAACATCAACCTCAAAATAGAAGCCCACTACATCAGACCCGACCCATTTTGCACCATTTCCATCTTTAACACGATGCCACTGCTGCCCACGTGAAAACCTTATGATGCGCCACACTGACCGAGCAGAAGCCACAGCCAACCGCACGCCCGACACCACTCCAGACCACCGAGACAGTGCGCCACTCACCAAAGCCCGTGCTGTTGTCACCCACCAAGAAAGACCCATACTTAGTGCCATAGTGGTCCACCATCGAGCTGTCCATGTGAAGCACTACAACGCCTACGTGAAGACCACCCATGCTGTCCATGCTCCCTCGTGAAGACCCCATGCCCTGCAAAATACAAGATTAGCAGACTCAACACATGAAATGGGGGGCAACATATTATTGGGATATTAAAAAATTAAGGGATTGATCATCAGTGAGGAGACATCAACCATTAGCAGCAACAAATAGCTCACGAGCAGCATATTAAACCATTTTTTAGCACAACAAAATGGGGCTCTCGGTAATTGGGGTGAGGAATCACACAAGCCAAAAAAACCATTACCCCAGGGAGGGTTTCACGATCATCAAGGGGAGAGAGGTTCACGAACAGAGGGAACAAGGAGAGAAATGAACCAATGATAATCGAGAGGGAGAACAAAAAGCACAGAACCAGAAACCAACAGGGGGTGCAGTTAACAAAAATGGGAAACACCAGCGATAGGAGGGGATAGTAACACAAAGGGGATTTTTCATCAACAACGAGCAAAAATCAGAGAAAAATAGCAACAAAAAAGAACAACAAAAAACAGTGCGTGTAAACATCATTTCGGTATTCAAGGATTGACAGTGTAACAGGGGTCTTCCCCATCTGTTTTGAAAGCAATACAAGCAGGTCCTTTTCGTTATTTTTTAAGAAATATTAAGCAATGATTCATGTTTATTGTTCTTATTTCGAAAACAAATAGAAAGTAGAGAGGAATTATAAAATTACCTTGGTTGTGTAAACGACAGTAGGGTCTCGGTGGCTCCGCCTTAGTCGTTCGGGTCCCCGCTGTCAAGGAAAAAAGTTGAGATTAGTCTTAAAAATCGAAGCATAATAAACGTGATAAATATTAGGAGTGTTTTGATAGGTCACCTAGAGTCTTTTAGTAGTCGTCGGAGTCGAGATTTCCGGGGCACTAAAATAACAGTGGAGTTGGGTCTTCGGTCGTTTAGGTTTCCTCGGTGGTTCCTAACGGTGGTCGGAGGGTATGGTCTCGTTGGTTCACGTTTATTTACCCTATTTTCAGAGGGTGTCGGAGAAGATTAGGGAAGGTTTTGGTCATTTGAGGGGTGTCGGTTTGTTTGAGGAGGTCCTAGGTCTATTTCGTCTGTGGCCGAGTCCTTAGGCTTCTTTCGTCAGTGGTCTGGATCCTTCATTCGGAGTTAGAACGGCTGCTGAGGGGGAAAAGAAGAAGAAGAAGATGGGGGGAAAGGGTGGAGAGAAACGGCGCAAAGAGAACAAATGAAATTAGGGTTTTTTTTTACCCTAGATATAAATATATAGGATTACTAAAACGACGTAGTTTGAATAGTTTGGGGCATCCGTTTTGGCGTTTGATTTATTCATTTTGCGAGTCATTTAGGTTTTACTTGTAACTCATTTTGGTCCTGAAGTCGAGTCCTGTTTGTTTCGTAATTTGGACTTTATCTTTTATGCACATTTGATTTTAGTCCTGAATGCTAGTGTATTTATTTTCTTTCGTTTGCATATTTGGTCTTCAACTTTTTTGCATGTTATATTTTAGTCCTCGAATAAAATCTTTTCTGTTTTTAATTTAGTTCTCAATTGTTACGCGTATGTACTTTATGCTATTTAGACATTAGGGTTCTATATTTTGCATGTTTCTTTTAGGTCCTAAAGGTTGATTTATTTATTCAGACATTTGATCATTTAATTTTTATATGTTACCATCTAATCTTGTATATGTCGGGTCTATTCTGGTATCAGTCCATAATGATAATAGTAGTTTTATTTCAATTGTTGGTATTCAATATGGTAATATTTGCATGTATACTATAATTTTTATTATGTTTGTATTTAAAATAGAAAGGTTTTGTTTAATATGGTCTAGTCCTTAAATATAGATATTTCATGAAATCCATATTTTGAGTTAATATGTTTATTTTATTATATTTTAAGTCACTTTCGTACATTACATATTAATGTGTATATATATGTATAAGTTATAATGTATATAATTTGTGGTATTAAAATATTTTTGCATGTCATCCTTTTTGCATAATATGTATGATATCCTCATGTGCATAACTCGACATTATTACATAATTAGATTAAGGGTAATACCCTTTTAATTTAAAATGGTTTTAAGTGGGTTGTCTTACCTGATTAGAGGTCCGCTTCTAACGATTTTAAATTAAAAGTGTATCCCATCAGTGACACCTAAGAAATTGATTTATCACTTTAAAATTTGGGAAGGGAAGAAAAAGAAATATTCGGCTATTTAAATTTATCGAGAAAAGGTTGTTATAACTTATTTAAGATCTGGTCTCGATATTTTTAAATAATCGAATATTCTTTATCTTTCTAAAGGCTGGGTAATTTTAATTTAATATATTCTGGTGCTTTCGAATAATGTAAAATTCATGTGTTGTTTTGTCGGGGATCATAAACCAAATTAAACTCGATTTTGTAAATTTCATTGCAAAGACATTAATTAATCGACGAGGTAGCGATTTAGGGCGCTGTGGGGGTGCTAATCCTTCCCCACGCGTAACCGACTCCCGAACTTACTTTCTGGTAACGCGGACCTAAATTTGTTGTTTTAATTAAAATTAATTTTTATTTAAAATGATAACGTTTTTGGGTACCCAATCACACCCCCTATCAAAGATTGGTGGCGACTCCTCGAACCGTATGTTTTTTTTATCGTAAAGGAATTTCCAAATGTTCGAAACGAGAGGTTTTTTAAAATCACATTGTTTTTAATTAAAATTCAATCGTAAAGAGAATAATTAAAATGACGTGGTTTTCAAAATCTCGCGCCCCTCACTTAAAAATCGTTTCGACAGCATGGCGACTCCGCTGGGGACCTTTTTTAGAGAGTCAAGCCTATAGTCGATTAATTGATTGTCTTTGCAATTGAAAGTTATAAATTCTCTCTAATTTGGTTTTTAATCCCCGGTTTGGTTTTAATATTGTTTGTTTAGAATTTGATTAACTAATAAATAGTTGTACTGATCTGTTTGTTAATAGTTTCAGATTATGTGTTTAAAGAGGATTGATTTTTGAGTGTTTTGTGATTATGTGTTGTCTTATTTTCGCTTTTCCTCACACACTGCACAGTTGCATTTGCATAACATGAGCTAAAACCCCGCTCCGTCCTATTTAAGTAGGAGTGAGAGACTACTCCCTCATGTGGTTTTCACCTCCGCATGGGATAGTGGATCGCTCCTGGAGCTCACGCCTTATGGTCCTCGTGATGGTATTCACCTCCGCATGGACATAAGGAGGTGTGTTCCCTCGAAATTGAACTCGACAATTCGAGAACCTATCACTTTAGAACCGAACCCAGCATGTAGTGAACATAGAGCCTGAACTTAGATCGAGCCTAATCCGAACCTAAGGAGTCCCGTGAGGAGGGTAAACAAGGAAAAGCTTTTTGAGTCATTTATTTTCGCTTTTTCGAATAAATGCATGCGAACTAGAAATCATGTGGTTAGGTTTATTTTCTCGAACAAGCATGCGAATTAGATATCATGCGGTTAGGATTTTTGCAAATAACAAAAGCATGGGGGTAGATATCATGTTGGGTAGGATCTACTAAGCATGATTGGGTAGTCAGCATGTAAGGGTAGGTTTTATTTGATGTTTACGGTACTTACTATCTTGTTGTTTATCTTGTGAGTACTAACCCATTTTTTGTCTTATGTCTATTTTATTTTGGATTTATTGCATTTGCATCTTCATGTCATTCAAAGGTGTTAATTTGCAAGTGATTGACTAATAAGAAGGCTGGTCGTAATGAGGCGAGAAATTCTTAACCATGTACTCAAAATCGGGAGATCCATAGACATTCAAATGATTCATGAAGAAGAAAATCCGATGAATGAAGAAATTTGAACCTGATTGAAGAACGATTCATGAAGAAGGACATCCGATGAATGAAGTTTGAAGTTGATCGAAGACTTCTTTCAAAGGAGCGGGGGCTGAAGATGTTCCCTCAGGAGATAGATGCAGTAATACCAAGGACGAGAAGACCCTTCACAAAGACACGAAGACCACTTTGCACTGAAAGTGAAGATGGAGATCCCAAGATTCAATTTAAGGACTCCGACATCATCAAAGACGATAAAATACGCCGACAATTTTGGAGGTGCAATGCCAGATTCCATGAAGAGTACGACTCAAGGAAATGAAGAGATGAAGAATCACAATTGTATTTTGATTACATGGTGTAATGAAATCTTGTTGTCTAAATGAAGGTTGTTCTATGGTGGTCACTTTTGGAATTAACACCTTTTGCATTTGCATTTGACATTTGCATTTGCATTGCATAAGCATTTTATATGCATTAATTATGAAAACACGGAAATAACTTATGGAAGATTATGTGACATTAATAGCAAGATCGTTCATTCATATTGTTCCTCATCATCATTAGCAAACAAATGGAAGCAATGGAGCAATCTAATGAGAAATCACAAGATCAGTTGCAAGAACAGTTGGTTGGGTTACAACAAGATACGAGGAATCAAGCATCGGGTTCCCTACAAAGTGTATCGAATCAAATGATTCAGGTACTGGCACCATAGGCTGTTAGTAAAGAGAAAATGGATGATGAAGGAAATCAATGCCATCATACTAATACAGCAAGAGTGATAATCTACCCTAGAGCATCTAACTCAAACCTAGGGATGAGCCTCGTCAATTATGAGCAATTTGAAGACGAATTCAAGTGGTTGGATGAAGCCATTACAGATATGAAGATTGTTAATGCCTCCTAAAAGGAGTTAGAAGCTAGAGAACTCAATTTGGTCCCTGATTTGGTCATCCTACATGAATTTAGGGTGCCTAATTTTGAAATATATGATGGCACAAGTTTCCCCCTAATTCATCTAAAGATGTTTTGTAGAAATATGGAAGGGTATGTAAATGATGATAACTTCCTGATTCATTTATTCCATGATAGTCTTGTTGGGCCAGCTATAGTATGGTATAATCGTTTGAACAGAGAGAAGATCAAGACATGGGTCAACCTAGCTGATGTTTTTCTGGGGGAATATCGATATGTTAAAGGCTTAGCCCCAAAACGTCATGACCTTCAAAGGATAAGGATGAAAACTATTGAGAGCTTTAGAGAATATGCCCTAAGATGGAGAAGAGTGGAAGCACAAGTTCAACCTCCTTTGTTAGAAGAAGAAATATCATGTATGTTTCACGATTCTCTCCCAGCTCCTTTCTTTGAGTTAATGCTGGGAAACTCGACGAATGGCTTTAAGGATCTTATGATGGCTGGAGAATTAATTGAAGATGCAATCAGCAAGGGAAACTTGAAAGTCACTTCCAAATGTCCAACCGATCAAAAGGAAAAAGCTGATGAGGTGAATGAATGTCACATCCATAGCTCCCACAATCGTAAAAAAAAGGGGCAGCAAGTTACTCGAGTCGTCCAAAGAAAGCCCCAAGATTGAAAAATGCTTTGAAAGTGTTCCAAACTTCTATCTCGGATCTGTATCCCTATTTGGTTAAAGGTCAATACCTCACACCGAGGCCAATAAAAGTGAAACCATACCCTTCTACTCACAGCTATGGTCAAGATAGTGCCTGTGATTTTCACTTGGGGGCATTGGGGCATTCTACGGGAAATTGCAGGCTGCTGTTAAAGGAGATAGAGATGCTTGTGGAAAATGGGACATTGACACAAGAATTGGTGAAACAATGGATGATGAGCTCGAGTGGGGCACCAGAGCACAATGTGGAGCACCTGATCGAATCAAACACCACAGCATTAGAAGAATAATGGGGCATTCTGACTGCGCATAAACCATTTTGTTCATCATGAAACTTTTTGTCATTTGCAACATCTTGTTTGAACAACATTTTTTGAACTTTATCATCAGTTTTTTTGTAATGATATTTAAATGAATTCATGTTACTTTAAGGATGGTGAGCATTGAATCAAATTTGACTTGAAATTCTTTGAATATCAACTGAATTAAAAGCTCTTTAATAATTAGGGTTATAAATCCTTGACGAAATGACAAGGTTGAAACCTGATAAAACAAGGACCCTGACCTTATCCCCAGAAGATACAATCGAACACCATACCTTTCTATTGCATGGACCGATATAACCTTCTCATCTTATAAGGAAATGAACAATAGGCTTGGTATTCAGGTATGTATAGGAGCGGACAACATGGGGCATCTTTTGTGTATGACATCACAAACCTGTCTAGACCATACTTTTGTTGACGACGTTCGATGATG